GGAGCCCGATGCGGGACTCGATCCTGGGACTCCAGGATCATGACCTGAGCCGAAGGCAGTAGCTTAACCAACTGAGCCACCCAGGTGCCCAATTAGTAGCCTTTCTGTACTTGTGCACATCCTTTGTTGATAACGACACCAAAACTCAGCAACTCGTAATTTCTTAAAGGTTAGTTGCACTGTGGAACCTGAACCCATAGCCATTAACTTTTCCTGCTCTGTTACACTGAAGTCTGTCAGTCTGTCTTGCACTTTGAATGGATCTTTTACCCAGCCATGATTTGTAACATCATGCATTGGTCATTTGGAACAAGGCTTGCTGACTTTTATATACCTCTAAATAGTGACATTTTCATTATACCATATCCCAAAAAATCCACCTTTGTTCATATCACTGTTGACCTCCTGAGAGAAGTCTTTAGCAACTGATGAATTATTGAACTCTACATCTGAAACTAATGATGTACTATATGTTGGCTAATTGAATTTAAATTAAAAAAAAGTCTTTCAGTGTTTGGAAGCTATCAAGTTTATGGTGACTGATACAAGTTCTTGTAATTAATTTTACTAATTAATTTACTAATTAATTAATTTTCCTTGAAACTTCAAAGTTTTTTAATTCTTAAAATTTTTTTAAAGATTTTATTTATATATTTGAGAAGACAGAGAGAGCAGGGGGAGGGGCAGAGACAGACGGAGAGGGAGAAGCAGACTCCCTGATGAGCAGGGAGCCCAAAGCCAGGGCTCGATCCCAGGACCCTGAGATCATGACCTGAGCCAAAGTCAGACGCTTAACCGACTGAGTCACCCAGGCACCCGTAATTTTTTAATTTCTTTAAAAAATTTTTTTATTCTTATTTTTTTAAGTAAGCTCTATGCCCAGTGTGGGCTTGAACTCACAACCCGGAGCTCAAGACTCGCATGCTCTACCAACCAAGCCAGCCAGGCGCCCCCAAAGTTTTTTTTAAACCTTGAATTTTTATCACTGGCAACAGATGATGTCAGTTGTTTTCCTTCGTTTTCAAGCTGTCTACTGGATACCAGATGTCTGCCAAGCCTGAAATGCCGGTTGACCAGTCATCCTCACAAGTGCAAACGGGGGTCCCATGAGAAAAGCGCAAGTGCTCGTGTGGACTTCCCATCTGGTCACACCGAATATCAAGACACTTCTACTCAAGGGTCTAGATTTAATGACGTTAGGTAACCATGGGGCACCTGGCTGTCTCAGTCAGTAGAGCACGTGACTCTTGATCTCGGGATCATGAGGTCAAGCCCCACGTTGGGTGTGGAGATGACTTAAATAAATAAAACTTAAAAAAACATGAAGAACTCGTGCTACTTCATCAGCGATGTTCCTCAGTGAGATGGGTTTGTTTTTCCTGGTGAGGAAGGCAGAGACCACTAGAACAACCCGGGCCACCACCTTGATTCACTCATGGGCTCCAGCAGCTCCACCCACCATTGCTTTTCCACCGTCAGGGCAAACGTCACCATGGTGGAAAAGACAAATCATGTCTTAGTATTATTATGGAAGATAGTTTTGGCCTCGCAGACCCCCTGAAAGGGACTTGAGGACCCCTCCAGGTGTCCACAGTCCGTACTTTGAGAACCACTGGGCAGCAGTGACCTTTCATTACATAACGGTCCGTCTGATTCTTCGTAAGCACCTCGCTGTTCCACTGTGTGGTGCGACATTGGATTTAACTGATCCCTTTCTTTGCAGACATGCGGGTGTTTTCTGGTTATCACCCTCAAAAACACTGCTGCTAAAGATGTCCTTGTCCTTGTTTGCCCTTGGGACTGAGGTTCAGGGCCTTGGCACCTGCCAGATGGGCTGACCCCCCCTTTGCCTCCCCACCAGCTGGGCCTGAGCTTTCTCGTGTGTTTGCATGCAGGTGGAGCATGACCCCACCCATGGTGAATGCCTACTACTCGCCCACCAAGAATGAGATCGTGTTTCCTGCCGGGATCCTGCAGGCACCGTTCTACACCCGCTCCTCGCCCAAGTAGGATGCTTGTGTTGCTGGACCCCATCTCCTTCCCCCACCCCTCCGTGGACACCCAGCCTGGCCCTGGGGCCTGCAGCTGACCACACGAGCCAGCCAGTCTCCCTGAGGGCTTTTTGTCCCACTGGTCCAGGGAGCTTGGGGCTCTCAGGGACATTGCAGAGAGAACAGCATCCTCACTCCCTGCGCTTCCCTCCAGGGGTCTCCGGGGTCCAGAAGCCCCTGCACAGTGGGAGCTTGGGGGCATGTCATGAAGTCAGGTGCCCTATCTAGGGGAAAGCCCCCCCCCAAGTGGTGTTTTAGAGCAGTCACAGCTGGGGGGTGGGGGCGGAAAGTGTGAGAGCACGGTCTGAGAAAGGCCCTGGGTTTGAATCCCAGGTCTGCTCTTTGCTGACTGCGGGGCCCTTGGGTAAAGTGACTGAACCATTCCCAGTCTTGGTTTACTTATCCAAACAGTTGGTCACTAATGCCAAACTCTTCTGAGGTGACCAAAGAGGACAGTGCAGTTCGGTGGAGGGTCTAGCACAGTGCTTGGCCTTCATGGGCTACAGGTGAACCACAGCCCATTTGCCCAGCCTCTGACTACCCTAAGGGGTTTGCTGGAGGCTCAGGCTGCGGCCACATCCCCACAGAGCCCACAGGACCCTGCTTTGTCTCTAGAGCCAGGAAGTGATGTCCCCTTGGGGCGTCACCCTCACCTTTGTGTCCCCCTCTCCAGGGCCTTAAACTTCGGTGGCATTGGTGTTGTCGTGGGCCACGAGCTGACTCATGCTTTTGATGATCAAGGTACGGCTTCCTGGGGTCCCCTTCAGACGGGGCACATTGGCTCCTGGCCCCATTGCCTCTGCTTTGCTCTCGTCACTTCCAAAGGTCTGGAGACAGATGGGTTTGGGTTCAGTCTTGGCCCTGCCCCTGCCCCTTGAATGAACTTGAATGAGTCCTGTCCTTTCTCCACGCCTCCTCATCCTCGTCTGTAAAATGGGCGTGATGATTACAGCCTCGTGTGGTGATTCTGGGGACTGTGTCAGACACAGGGGGTTCCTGGAAGGTGTCTCGTACTCAGGAGTGGGTGTTAGCAGTCAGCAGGGAGCTCACATTTCTCCAGCACTCCAGAGACTTCTGGGCCAACTGCCATCAAAGGAGTTGAAGTCATTTGCCTCCTCACCAAAGCATCGAGAATCCTCATTCCCTCCTGCCTTGGGCACCCCAAGGCCAAGAAGGAGGAAGTGGGACCTTAGAGGCCGGGGCCTGTCCTGTGATCCCAGTGCTGCTGACTCCATTTCCCCCATCCTGGGCTCGGGGTCCGAGGCCCTCAGTCAGCCTTGACAATGAATCCAGCTCCACCAAAACCGTGAACGTGCTGACCCTTTACCCGCACCACGTTCCTCCATCCTCCCTCCCCCACCCACCCCCCAGCTGCCTGGCTCATTCTCCCAGCTCCTCTGGCACCCAGGCCAGCATCATCTCCCTGGTGCTGCTGGGTAGGCCTTGGCGGGGAGGGGGATGGGAGGGTGGGTCCGGAGGGGGGATGGGCGGGCCACTTCTCACCAGGCGGAGAGGGGGGCAGAGAGGCGCAGTGAGCCCTGCCTCCTCCCCCCCTCCTCCCCCTTGACCTGACGCTTCCCTTGGAACCTACAGGACGGGAGTATGACAAGGACGGGAACCTTCGGCCCTGGTGGAAGAACTCGTCCGTGGAGGCTTTCAAGCAGCAGACGGAGTGCATGGTGGAGCAATATGGCAACTACAGTGTGAACGGGGAGCCCGTGAACGGCCGGCACACGCTGGGGGAGAACATCGCCGACAACGGGGGGCTCAAGGCGGCCTATCGGGTAAGAGCTCATTCCCCGCACACACCCCGGCCCGGGTCTGGGTCTGTGCAGGGGCCTCCTCAGGAAAGGGTCTTTATGGACAACCTGGGACCAGCTGCAGCCGCTGCGTGACCTTCTCTCTGCTCATCTGCGGAACGGGGGGTAGCGGGGACCGCCGGAGAGGTCTGTGGAAGTCCCTCGCACAGAGCGAGGCGTGCAGAGGGCTTTCCAGGCAAGTCCGCCCGACTGACATTCAGAGGAAGGGGCTTAGGCTGGAGCCACCTGACGACCTGCGGGTTCCTACCTTGGCAGGGATAGGCATCATTAAATCAGGCAGCAGTGGGCCCAGGAGGGGAGGGGAGGGGAGGGACACAGGTCATGGAGCCAGTTCTGGGTTCCAGTCCTGGTTCTGGAGAAAGTCACTTAGCCTCCTTGAGCTGCAGTGTGCTTGGCTGTGAACACCCACTCCCTACATTACTGGGCTGTCAGAAGGATGACATGATCTAATTTATCCTTTAAAACCAGAGTCAACAGGGGCACCCAGCTGGCTCAGTGGGAAGAACATGCGATTCTTGATCTCGGGGTCATGAGTTTAAGCCCCACGTGGGGTGTAGAAATTACTTAAATAAGTAAAACTTCAAAAAACAAAACAAAACAAAAACAAAAAACCCAAGCGTCAGTAAACCTATACCCTGTGGGTCAAATCCAGCCCTCAGCCTATTTTTGTAAATAAAAACATAGGGGGACCCCCGCCAGGCCTGTTGGGCTTCATGCTGTCCATGGTTGTTTTCACACCACAACGCCAGAACAAAGGAGTTGCACTGAGACCGTTTGGCCTCCAACACTGAAAATATTTACCCTCTGGCCCTTCTCAGGAAAGTCTGCCAACCCCGGCTTTATGAGGATGACTTAAGATGTTGTGTCGGGAGGGGATTGGAATTGGACCAGCTCAAGTCAAGGAGTCTAGTTAGCAAGCTATTGTGAGATTGTCCAGGCAAGAGAAGGGATGAAGCAGGGGATGTGGCAGGGGTGAGAAGTGGCCAGATTTAGGTGGTTTGGATAATTGAACGAGACGCTCAGGGCACCTGTCTGGCTCAGACGGAAGAGCGTGCGACTCTTGATCTCTGGGTCGTGAGCTCGAGCCCCACGTTGAGTGTAGAGATTACTTTAAAAAAAAAAAAATCTTTAAAAAAAGAAAGAAAGAGAAGCTCAAAGAAGAACTCTGGGGTTGGGGCCCGAGGCACTAGGTGGTTGGTGGTGCCATTTACCGTGGTGGGAAAGTGTGTGCGTGTGCATGCATGTGGGTGTGAGTGCGTGCATGTGTGTAACCCCTCATTCTGTCTGTGCCATATTAAGTCTGAATGCATCTTGGAAATCCAGCTGAAGCTATGAATATTCAAATCAGGGAAGAGGCTGGAGCTGGAAATATGCACCTGAGAGCCATGGCCATGTAGATGGTATTTAAAGCCCTTTGGAATGAGTGCTGGTGAAGAAGATCACTCCTCTAGGCAGAGGGGGGACCCCAGACTCCCCCAAACAAGTCCTTGCCCCAACAGGGTAGAGCTTCCCGAGGCCTCCCGCACTGGCCCTCCATTGTTGCCCTGTTTGCTCCTGTGTCATGGGAGCCCCTGAACTTTGTTTTGTCTGCTCCCAGGCCTACCAGAACTGGGTGAAGAAGAATGGGGCTGAGCAGACGTTGCCCACCCTGGGCCTCACCAATAACCAGCTCTTCTTCCTGGGCTTTGCACAGGTGAGTTCTTTGTAGGAAAATATGCCAAACTCAGGCACATTTCTGCCATCTTGATATTCCAGGAGCTCTGAGAGCCAAAGGCTTCTCAACTGAGAACCTTCTAACTCATTGGACTGTCCATAGGACATCTACTCTGTAAGAAGATGAGCTTCCTGCCAGTAGAGAAATCCGATTAAGGGCCATGAATGCCATGAAAAGGTTTCCTGTATCAGGTAGATGAGAGGACAAGTGAGTGCTAAGGGCCCTCTGGTTCAGGGGTTCTAGAAATTTCCTAAACTCAAGATGCCCCAGGATGTCCCTTGAATTGGCATTAATGTATAGTCTTCTGTTAGTGCCCCGAGCCACCAGGCCATTACACAGTTTTTGTTCTGCCCAGGATGTGAGTGACCTGGACTCAGCTGAAGGTTTTCAGACTGGTTTGGGGGCAGAATCCTTTGTTCAGAGGAAATCTAATGCAGAGGCCCAGGACAGACAGAGGTGACCACAGTAGAGGATGCTGGGATGGGGGACATAGCAGCCCACGGTCTCTTCCCTACCCACCTGGTCGCCCCTCCAGACGCCCAAGGGTCTCAGAACCAGGTGGGGGCTCATTCCCCTGCTGTCGTGGACGGGGGCAGTCTGGTGGTCTCAGGGCCCCACAGTGACCTAGCTTCTCTCTTGTTGCCTCACAAAGGTCTGGTGCTCTGTCCGCACACCTGAGAGCTCCCACGAAGGCCTCATCACTGATCCTCACAGCCCCTCCCGCTTCCGGGTCGTTGGCTCCGTCTCTAACTCCAGGGAGTTCTCAGAACACTTCCACTGCCCACCTGGCTCCCCCATGAACCCTCATCACAAGTGTGAGGTCTGGTGAGGGTGGCAGCGCCGTGAGCCAAGACAGGATGAGCCCCCACGTGGAGCCTGTCAGGCCACCTTTCCATCCAGCGTCCGGGGTGTCGCCCCGCCCCCTGGCCGCCCAGGACCCCCCCCTACCCCGCACTGGAGGGTTTCCAGCCGGAACCGAGCCTCTGATGTGGGTTCTCAACACAATCCGAGATTTGATCCCCTGTGAAGACCGTGTCATCCCAGGCACATGTGCACCAGTTCTCGTGGGCATTTGGGTGTTAGGCTGGTGGCTTACCGGGCCTGGGCCCCATATTGACAAGGGCAGTGGGACACGGACCCCTGCCCACATCCAGTGCCAGAAACACCACAAATACCACTGTGTCAAATGCTTTAAAGATATATTTTTGGGGAAACTATTTTTTAAACATTGTGGAATACACTGGAAATCTTCAGGGAAATAATGCATTTAAAACACTTTTTTTTTTTTAAGGAAAGGATTGGTATATTTATTATATTCTGTTTTTCTAAATAACCTGTGGATAAGGGAAGACCCACTGATTTACCCCTCCCTTCCTCACTCGCTGTGAGGTCGGCTGAGGCAGCCATCCCCCGCCACTGAGCGTGTCCCCACGTAGAGAGCTGACCCAGTCCTTGGCGTTTGCAGTTTCAGCCTCTGTCAGCTGGTTTGCGGTCACGGGGCGTAAAGAGGAGAGGTGTGGAGGCCAGGAAGGGGCAGAAGCCCCCTCATGGACACTGCCCCTCACAGCTTGCCTGTCTCTGTCCCCAGAGTCCCAACAGTGGGAACCCCAACAAGGACGGTCTGATCCCCAAAGTCGCAGCAGGAAATTGATGGCTGCAGCAGGGTGAGGCCAGCTCGTGGCCTTCAAACCCAGCCCCGGGGCACCCAAGCACCCTGGACCTGGATGGCGGGAGCCCCGCGAGGCCTCGCCCTGCGTCAGACGCTCTCTGCCCTGCCGTAGGTAGCCTCTTTCTGTCCCTCTCCTGGCCGCTCCATGTGTGGCCCAGGGGCCAGTTGCCTGTCCGCAGCAACCCTCCCATCCCAGCGTCTTAGGGGTCTGCCTTACTGACCCTCTTCCCCAGGGGAAGGAGAAAAGGGAAGACCATTCTCCTGTCCTGCAGGGCCCGGATCCTCCCTCTGGGCTTCGGCCTGAGCTTGGCTCCCAGGACCACGGCCAGCCCCGCCGGCCCGCCCTCCATCTTTAGTGCCTTAGCTGAGGCTGCAGCCCAGGCTCCACCCCAAGGAGACAGCCCTCTACCAGGTGCCCCTTTGCCTCCTCAGTGAAGCCTTCAAGTGTCCTGACTGTAACGCAAGGCCGTGCCCCCTCCTGCCAGTGTCCACAGAACTGCCCCTCACAGCAGCCGGGGGGCTCTAGCCCGCAGGCAGGTCCGTGGCGCCACGGCCGGGAATCTGACGGACCCCGGCACGTGCCCCGAGCCCCATCCCACCCTCAGCCCCTTCGGCTGAGTCAAGACAGTACTTGTAGCTAGATGGACTCCTCACTTGGAGATGGGTTCAGCCAAGGAGGACTGTGAGGGAAAGGCTCCCCCGCCACGGTCAGTCCAGCCTGTGGTGTCGGGGAACCAGGACTGGTGTCCCTCCCTGAGGCCAGAGCAGCCAGTGCCCGTCGTCGAGGCTCACCATCCTGGCAGCCCGAGGCCTGGCCCTGCTCCCTCAGCGCACTCGCCTCGCCCCTGCAGCCAGGACCCTCCCCGCCCAAGAGGCCCAGCCGGATCCGCCTGAGGCCCCTGGTCCCCGCAAGCAGCGGGCCTGGTAGCTCTTCAGAGGAAAGGTAGGCCAGGAGCCAGAGAAGAAGCCAGAGTCAGGGGCTGCCGCACGCACCTCGCCACACAGAGGTAGGCTTCCCAGCCCTGGCGCCGTCGGGTACCTCCTCCGACGCCCTCCTTCCTTCCCGCCTTCCCCATAGAAGCTCACAGTCGTCGAGAGTGTCCGTCGGCGCCACAGACTGGAACCTCCCCGCCAGAATCAAGTGTCCCGGGGCTGAGGGTCCAGCCAGAGGGGGTGTAGACTGCATTCAGCAGGGGGCGCGGGGAGAGCAGGGCTCCGGCCCAACAGGGGTGGAAGCAAAGGAGGCAGCCCCCACGTCCTGCCCTGCCCCTCCGGAGCTGAAAGAAGCCTGAGGGGATGGGCGGCTCTGAAAGCCGCCCCCCTCAGGCCCAGGGAGCCACAGGGCTGGCGGCTCCGCGGGTACACGGACATGGGGTTTGGAGCTGGGAATCTATTTTTTGTATTATTATGTTCTGTGCTACTGTAGTTTGGGTGTGGCACTATTGTAACTCAAATAAAGTACTTGTACCGAGCGTCACGTGACTGTGTGTGTCCTCTGGGGCTCGGGTGGGGGGGCCCCTGGCTAACACAGAGCTCCCCATCCTCACCCAGGCAGCGGGGCTAACGGCACCTCCTCCCCAGCGTGGAGGCCTTGGGCCCAGACAAACGCCCGGAGGTTACTCGGTGCCTGTAAGAGCACGTGGGCGCCCCCTGCTGGGGAGAATGGTGCGTGCCAGAGGTGTCCAGGGGGCATCCTCGTGGAAATACTTTTTCCGTGATCTTGGAGCAAAGGGTATCAGCAGAGGGTTGCCAGGCCTCAGATGCTCAGCGGGGCCGACGGGAGTAGGTAAATTCAATGAAGTTCAAGGAAAAGTGTCTGACATACACTCATGCCTCCCCCTGGGTTCTGCATATATTCTTCCCTCTGCCTAGAATGCTCTTCTCTAACTTCTCTGCCTGATACACTCCTACCCATCCTTCAATGCCCAGCATACCATCACCTCTTCTAGGAAGCCCTTCCTGACCTCCAGATCACGTACGATCACACAGGCTTCCCTCTCCTAACGGAGTAGAGTGCCAGGACTGCTGTAACAAAGCACCACAAACTTGGTGGCTTACACAACAAAAATTTATTGTCTCACAGTCCTGGAGGCTAGCGTCCAAGATCAAGGTGTCCACAAAGTTGATTCCTTCTGAGGGATGTGAGGAAGAATCTATTCCAGGCATTTGCCTAGCTTCTGGCGGTCTGCTGGCCATCTTTGGCGCTCCTTGGCTTGTAGAAGCATCACCGATCTCTGCTTTCATCTTCACATGGTGTTCTCCCTGTGTGCGCATCTGGTACGTGTCCGAATTTCCCCCCTTTTTTATAGGGACACCAGTCATGTTGGATCAGGGCCCACCCTGATGACTTCATTTTAACTAATGATATCTGCAGTGATCCTATAAGGTCATATTCTGGGGTATTGGGTGTTACAACTTCAACATATGAATTTGAGGGGACACAATTCAACCTGTGAAAGTGCCTGTGCCATCTCTAGCAGCCCAGTGCCTGGCACAGACAAGCCACAGAGTAGGGCTCGGTGACTGTTGGATAAGTAGGTTGGTGGGTGGGTGGATGGATGGGTGGGTGGATGGATGGGTGGGTAGATGGATGGGTGAGTAGATAGATAGGTGGGTGGATGAATGGGCGGATCAATGGATGAATGGAAGAATGGCTGAACGGACAGATAGCCATAAGTAATGTATCACCAAGGGAGCCGTCCCCAAAACACACCAATGCCAGAAAGAATGAGCCCAGTGGGCTGGAGTAACCAGGAAAAACTTCCTAGAGGGCAGAGATTTCAGCTGATCCTTAACTGAAGGGGGAGAATTGGGGTTCATACTCTGAACTAGACCAAGTGATGACCTGAGCAAGGGGCAAACTCTTCACCCTGCCTTGCTTTAAAAGGAGTAAGTCATTTCTCAGTTTCTCCAGCTATAAAATGGACATTCATCTCTGTCTTCTCTTTGTTGTGACCCACAAATACTGGGGAGATACGAGGATGCTTGAGACAGTGGTGCACTTTGAACCCCTCAGAACGTTCACACTAGGTGTGTGCATGAGCCCATAGCCCAGCATTTCTCACCTGGACAGCTCAACCTCATCCCTTCCAACCAACTGCCCTCGGGAAAGCAGCCTTTTTTTTTTTTTTTAAAGATTTTATTTATTTATTTGAGAGAGAGAATGAGAGATAGAAAGCACGAAAGGGAAGAGGGTCAGAGGGAGAAGCAGACTCCCCGCTGAGCAGGAAGTCCGACGTGGGACTCGATCCCGGGACTCCAGGATCATGACCTGAGCCGAAGGCAGTCGCTTAACCAACTGAGCCACCCAGGCACCCGGGAAAGCAGCCTATTTAAATATCACATCACTCCCCCTCCCCAGCTCCCCACTGTACTTATCTGCCCTAGGCCTTGGACTCTGCCCAAACTGCCCCCCCCCAGACCACCTTGAGCCTCCTTTTTGCACTTTAACAGTCCGTGTCCTTCCCTGCCTTCAGATTGGAATGTCCTCCACACACCCTTGCCAAGGGATGAATGAATGAATACATGGATTGTTTCTTAAAGCTCCCGCACATTGTGTGCCTCCTGCGAATCAGGCTGTGTGGTGCGCACTTGCACAACCTCTCCCTGAATGCTTACGGCAGATTTCAAAGACAGCTACTTTAACACTCAGATCAGAGGGGGGCAGTGGCAGAGCTGAGTTCTGAACCAGGCTGCTCGTAAGGAGCTGCTTGGGAAAGCATGAGAGGCTCCTACAGAAAGTGACGGCCCGGGGAACCACACACACACACACACTCACACACAAACACACTCACACACACACACACACACACATACTGAGGTACCTAAGAGAGAGACACCATTTTTTCCCTGCAGAGGGCTGGCTTCCTGACGTTCCCTTTTTCCCAATGACCAAGTGAACAAATCCCTCCCTCTCCCCTGCTCTGAGCCCTGGGGCCCAAAGCAGGAATTAGAACCCAAGCCTGACCTTTTGGGGGTTTACCCTACAGTTGAGATGAGAAAACACTTGCCAGATGCCACAAGGACGTAAGCAGACACCGTCCAGGGCTTCTAGCAATAAGTCATTGTGGAAGCAAAGGGGTTCAGCAGGGGCTCTCTGGGAAGGGTTGAGAAACTGCAAAAGGGAGGCAATGGAGAAGATACTAAACTATAAAGAATCTAGAACAATAATAAACCTAATTTGAAATGGGCAAGACCTTTACAGAAAGAACTATAACAGTTTACTGAAGAACATACAAGAAGACCTGAATAAACACACAGGAACACCCTGGTCATGAATGGAAAGGTTCACTGTAATCCAAGGTGTTGATTTTCCCCAAGGTAATCTATAATGTCAGGGTTCTTTCAACCAAAATTCCAAGACAATTTTTCATGGAACTTGATAAGCCAATTCACATGGAAGAGAAAACTACCCCATGGCCAAGAAATTTTGAAAAAGAACAAGGGTGCCTGGGTGGCTCAGTTGTTTAAGCCTCTGCCTTCACCTCAGGTCATGATCCCAGGGTCCTGGGA